ATATTGTGACACGAGTTTGTTTTGAAGACGGTGTTTATGCATAGGACAGTTCAAGGGTTTAAAACTCCATACATGTGTAATGAATTTGCATGGAGTTTCAAACTCTTGGATTGCTCTTTGCAATGTCATCAGCGAAGAATAGCTTTGGGTATTTTAAAAATAACGAATTACTCACGTGAATTTACTGTGACAAGGTCGACTAGTTTCAAGTCACAGTGGGACTCTTATACATGAGTAGCGTGCGCGTCGTGGGGGCGTCGCATAGTTGACTAATCTTCAGGTTTGGATTTGGTCATAGTTAATTATACATACTCTTATTACATACTCTTTGATTAAGTTAGTTATGTTATAGGTGGGTATGTGCATTTTTAGTTTAAGAAGACAGGTAATGTTTTTTCTTATTTTTTTTCCTTTGTATGTTTTTAATCCTAAAGTTTAGTTCATAATTAAGGTGTTCTATGATTTCTTTTTGATTGTGTTATGTTGGTTTAAATTAGTAAATGATTACTTAGATTTAGATATAGGAATAAGCTATCGCATTGGAGAAATCTGTAATGGTAGTTATAAGGTAAGATTTTTAAATAAATAAATAAAAAAAGTGGTTATTGCCAATAAAACACGCTATATAAAATATCTGTTAAAAATAACGTCATGTTTAAATTGTTTTACTGAATTGTAAATTATGTTCAAATGTGTTGTGTACTGGATATTTTTCTTTGTATTTATATGTATAATAAAAAAATAATTGCAGTGACAAAATTTTAACAAACAATTTTATTTCAAATGTGTTAATTTTTAGAGGGAAACATCGTATTTATGCATATGTCAGTGCAAGGGTTTAAAACTCTATACATGTGTATGGAATCTGCATGGAGTTTCAAACTCTTGGATTGCTCTGTGCATTGTTATTGTACACAGCTGAAGAGACCTTGAAAATTTGGAGAAGAGCAAAAATACTCAAGACGATTAAAGTCAAAGGCATTTATTCCAACTAAACCATAAATAAGTACTTTTGAAACGTCAAAATAGAATAATAAACTGCCAGAATCTTCGTCAGTGAAACTAGGTGATCGTATCAAAGTGTAGATAAGAATGAGCAAGAAAATCTAGAATGTTTAAAGAAAATTTTAGACAACTATGATTACCTACTTTTTAATGATAATTCAGGTGAAGGAGATGTATCAGTGCACAGAGCAGCGCAAGGGTTTAAAACTCCATACATGTGTATGGAATCTGCATGGAGTTTCAAACTCTTGGATTGCTTTGTTCGATATCACGATACGTCATCGAAGTGGAGTCGCAGAACTGAAGAAGTACTTATACAGATGAAGATCGACTGATTTTTATTTATGTGATATTTTGGACAAAAGGTTCTCAGAGATTTAAGGATTGCGAAGGGTTGGGAGAAGGGGTTGTGGTTGTTTCACGCCGGTTTGTGAGGCCTTTGATGTCTGTGACGCCGTGGTATCACTCCGGTGGAGGCGACTCATTTGTGCCGAAGGTTGGCGACTTATTATTATTGCGAACTTGACAATATTTAACTTGTGTCACTGAGTTATTTTGATATACTTTACTGATTTTTGTACTGCATTATATTAGTTATTATTTGGTATATCAGTTGTGATAAGGGCGATTTATATCTGTATGGGACAATACAAGGGTTTAAAACTCCATACATGTGTATGGAATCTGCATGGAGTTTCAAACTCTTGGATTGATCTATGCGATGTTCTGCAGCACCGAAGAAGAGAATTTGAAGACATGGAAAAGACAAAAGACGTTCAGATATTCCGAAATATTCAGCTGTGACACATTTAAAAATGATTTTCGTGTCTAAATGGAAGTTAACAACAGAAGTCGATGTATTTATGCATGGGACAATACAAGGGTTTGAAACTCCATACATGTGTATGGAATCTGCATGGAGTTTCAAACTCTTGAATTGAACTATGTAATACCATGATACATTGCAGAAGAGGTCTTGAAATCTACAGACAGACAACATTTGGTTATGGCAAGAAATATATTTAAGATTTTGTTTTACAGTATTTAGTTTGTACAAGTTAATTGTGATTTCTGAAGTTTCTAATATATATATATATACATATACAGGATATTAAACGAAGTTGATGTACCCATACATGGGGCAGTGCAAGGGTTTAAAACTCCATACATGTGTATGGAATCTGCATGGAGTTTCAAACTCTTGGATTGCTCTGTGTATTGTCATGAAACATCGTGGATGAGGATTGAAGATTGTTTTGCGGAGATATTAAATGTTTTAAAATTCTTATTTAAAAGTCCCATTTAATTTAAAACAAAATTGTTGTATTTGTTCTGAACTTTCAAAATTGTGTTTGTAAATCTCCGTTTACTTTGTGATATTACTTTAAATTTTTATCTTTTTTCATTACTTAATAATGTTTATTAATAAACATAATAAGCTTTGTTAAATTCAATTTTAATTATGAGACGCCTTCACTAGGCTCTTTTTTAAACAAAAAGTAAGACTTAAGCACTCAGAGGCATTTGATGATTATTTAAATGTTTACTTAGTGTCAAAATAAACTTTGAAACTTTGTTCTTTTTTTGATGATGAGTGAAGAAAGTTATCAAAAGACTTGTCTCGCACTGGGTTAGGCGAGACATTGGGATGTATTAGACTTTTACTGATTAAAAACCACTCCGTTCCATCTCCTGGTCCAGGCCGAAGCCACGGTACATTTGTTTTGCCTGACCAAAGGACTGGGTTAAGTTGCCATCAAGAGTCTTTGAATAAAGCGGTTAGTCTGTAAACATACCCTTATGTAGGTAATTGAGGGATCAATAAAGGCCCTTCCTTTCTTTGTTTTTGAAATCGATTCTGCTCAGCATTCGTTCGGGATGAATTGTAATTTTATGTAAATAGCTGATCCAGTTATTATTTTGTTGGAGCCCCAAAAAGAATTTATTGAGTCTGTGTTTTTTCAAAGGATTAGGTATAATAATATTCCCAAAGTTGTTTTCTTTTTGGCTGACTTTGGATCTTTTTTTCGATAGCCGAGCAAATTTATGAAAGTCAAAGTCAAAAACATTTGTTATCTACAACTAAACCATATACAAGTGCTTTTGAAATGTCAAGGAAGAATAATAGTCTATTTGGGATAGGAACCAAGCAGCGGTTGAAACTGGAAAATAGCAATAATATTTCACTAGTAGACTATATTATAAAGTTGAAGAGTTTGTTTGAACGCGCTAATGTCAAGACCGACTGGTTAGAATTGGATGATTCTTTTTGATACCTATAGGTATGATATATAGGTATACATAATCCATTTAACTAGGAGTACGGTAGTAAAACATTGTTTTGTCAGGGGAAATAATCAAATGACTTCTCCCGCCTGGTGTAAGGCGAGAGACTGTGTCAGACTCTTACCGACTAAAAACCCTCCCGTTCCTTCTCCTGTTTTGGGCCGAGGCTGCGGTGGTACATTGCGCTTACCCCACAACCTCGGCTGAACATCAGCCCTATAGGGCCCCGTCTCTTTGATTACGCGCCGTCCGCTCGGGTATGGATCTGGTCAGGAGGCCAGCAACCCTTATTCGCCTTCCGAAGACTTTAAGTTAGTCTTTTAAATAATAAATATTTTCTTGTACTTATCGACATTTTTATTTCTTAGTCCCGCACAATGCGAGTGATATTCGAAGGTGTGCTTCGTGGAATAGGAAATTAATTATTTTAAATTTTTATTCGAAGCCCACCTGCGGGTGTGCTAAGTGGAGTACTTTAGGTGTGCTTCGTCTAGGTGTGCTTTATTTGGGTGTGCTTCATGGAGTACCGCCTTATGTACAAATAAATTGTGCATGAAGTATAAATAAATAAATAAATAAATAAAAAAATACCTCCGAGCTTATGGTGGCCGGAGATCATCTCTTAACGGTTATTAAACGTATCGCTACAACCAAAAGAAGTAGAGCGGCGGGTAAAACCGTGCGTTAATAGCTAGTCTCACATATAATTTTTACTATAAAATATGATTTAGATATAGAAAATTATGTCTATATTACAAATTAGTTGTATTATGATAAAAGGACAATCTCTTTGATGGGTATCACGTGGCGCAAATGATATTTTGATGTGAACCTTTCCTAATAAATTAAGGGTAATTTGTTTTGAAGGTTATCTTAATAACGGGTTATATACAGGGTGACATTTGTAACGTATTCAAGGATTCGATTTTGCTGCTCAATTACAACAACTTTTCCCATGGGACCAATATCGAAATCTCAAAAATAATAAACTGACTGCACGTCTGGGCAACTGGCTTCCGTGCAAATGTAAATGTGTCGCGGGTACAATCTCTTGGTGTGATCCACATATATGAATGTCTGGGCGTGATGTGGTGTATGTGAAATTGTATGTTTGTAAACGCAATGCATTATATAAAAACACAAAATTTTTCTTTTTTATATTTTTGATAATTCCATATTGGTCTTATAGAAAAAGTAGTTATGTTTGAGCACAAGAATCGGGTCCTTGAATATGTAAATCGTTCAAAATATCACCCTGTAGATATACCTATTCATATAGGTATATTATGTAAGTCATAATATTGTCAACCTTATGGATAACTGTTGCGATGGCATTGGATTTTGTTATAATCATTATGACAGGGTTGAGGTAGTCTACTGATTGATCAGCTTATTTGGTTAAATTAGTTGAGTCATTTTGATTTTTTTATGAGATAGGACGGCGAACTGTGATTTGTAGTGGCCCGGAGGCCAAGCAGCCCGCTTCTCATGCACGAGGGTGTGGGTTCGAAACTTGTCAAGTACCAATGTGACTTTTTCCGAGTTATATGTACTTTCTATGATTATTTAGACACCACTGACATACGGTGAAGGTAAACATTGTGAGGAAACCTGGACCCGCAATGAGCAAGCGTGGTGATTAATGCTCTAACCTACTCCGTATGTGAAGAGGACTTTGCTCAGCAGTGGGCACTTATAGGCTGATGATGATGATGAGGACGGCGAACGAGCTCTCGGATTACCTGATGGTAAGCCATCGGTGCCGTCCTATAACACCCGCAACACCGGAGGAGTTACGAGAGCGTTGCCGGCATTTTGGGGATTAGGGCTTCGGGAATTTATTTTATTTATTTCATACTGCTGCACGAATAGGTCGGTTCGACCGGAGTGATACCACGGCCTCATAGAAAACCAGCGTTCGCCGTGTGACTGTAGTTACCGGAGGCCCAATGCTTTCATCTCCCCCCATCCCAACGAAATCTTTAAATATACAAAATCCCGATCCCCAAATAATCGGCAATGCACTCGTAACTCCTTATGTGTGGTCTTTGAGCTGCATCGATTGCTTACCATCAGGTAATCCGTCTGCTCCGGTTGATGACAAGTGACAAAGCTATGCCCACCATCGTCACAAATCATATACTTAATAGATTATAACAGATTTTTAGTCATGACCTTTAATAAATATCTAAGAATAGATTTATGGTACGTTTAAGTACGTTCGTTCGTAAATTATTTATCAGCTGTTTGGCTCAATAAAACTTTTACATCTGTGGCTGGCATTGTTTATAGTACATTAAAAAAGAAGCTTTAGTGCCATTTTGTGTACCTATTGGTTGGCAGTAAACTTTGGTTTTAGACTATTTTCACTTTAATGTTTATTGACTAGGAAACTCAGTATTTTAATCTTTCAATCGTGATAATTTGAGACACAGTGGTAAGCCAATAGGTACGCGAACGCCGGCGTTCGCTTGGGATATAATGAATTATGAATTGACATAATCCATTTTATGTTTTGATAGCCTCCCCGTACGGGTGCAATGCTGATACTAAATTCCTCTAGTACTATTTAATAGATGTTTATACTTTCCTCTTCAATCACTCTGTCTATTAAAAAAAACCGCATAAAAATCTGTTGCGTAGTTTTAAAGATTTAAGCGCACATAGGGATATAGAGACAGGGAAAGCGACTTCGTAGTGATGACGTGGTTATAAGCAACAAACTCATTGAAAAATGGCGTCATTCAAATGTTAAACATGTTTGGATTTTTTAAGGTCATAACTATCGCCATTTTAAGGACATTACGTTCTTTATAAAAATGTGTAAACATGGTTTAAATACACTAACCTTCGATGTTTCTCTAGTGGGCTGTGGAATACAGATAAAAAATCACCTATAGTTTTGACAGTCAGTGATCGAACACAAGGTAGAGAGAGAGGCAAAGACACGACATCATTCAGCCTAGTTACGTCATACAGCCAATACGTCATTTGTACTGACGTCACAATCGTTAAATTCCACCACGTCGTGTGACGATAATCCCCGATTTAGTACCATCGGCAGCAATTTTAAATATAGGCATCAATTAAAATGAAAAGAGCTATTTGCGATCGTCCTAAATTATTTATTTCTGGTTGTTTTATTTTTGACTTTAGTAGTCTAATTATGGACTAATGGGTCATTAAAAATAATGCTTTGCAATTAGGTATTCGGTTTTCTTCTGACGATTTTTTTTATTTAGGTATTTGCTGGAGTCTTGTTCGTGTACGTATTGAGAATTTGATTTCGGGATTCGAAAATACATTTTAGATGGGACACTGCAAGTAAGCACGTGAGTCCTTATGTCCATGTCAATAATTGATAAATATTACTTATCAACTGTTTTTTATATTTATTAAATTTAACACTTTTGTTTTAATCTCTGGTCTGAAGAAATACATTTAATTAAATTTTTCTGTATTATCTTGATTTAAAAGTTAACTGTAAGTTCTGTAAAATTGTATGTACGCTATGCCCTATGAATTCCTGTAAATATAAAGGAATTGACTACAGTTTTCCAAAAACATAGCCCCGTTATACCTTCAAAATATAAAAAACCAGGTTGAATAACCTACAATGTTCACCGCCCATTTGTAACCTTCGTCATGGCTCGTGAACTCTTCGTGGGCTCGACAGACAGTGACGCAAATAACGTGAATAATAAAAAATAATGTCCTAAGCCTCTCTCGTAAACTCACTCCTCCATTTTCGGCTGAGCCGTGTATATGCGAGCACTCCCATTTTGAGTCTTTTAACTAAGTATTTTGTGTGTGATATTATACATAATATAACAATACATATGTCGGGTATAACGTAACGAACGTAAAACAGATACAAGTATGCAGTGCTAGTTTTTAGGGCTTTTAGGTGTTTTTTTTGCGATGGCTAGATGGCGTTGCTGTCAAGTTTAATCTGACGTTCTAATGTTCACATACCCAAAATGACTAAGGACTACTTAAACAATTTAAAATAACATCGAATCACGAATCTAGCTTGAAAATCCGCAATGAAGTACGCAACAAGTATACAAATGAGACAATTGAGGCAATTACTATTACTTACATAATAAACCCGCCATTAATTGACCCAAACATTTCCAAGTGCCAATTAATCGAAAATTCAAAATAGAACATTTTATGAGCACTCCAAACTTCAATATATACAAAATACCCGTTCCATTAACGATTTCAAAATGTTCTGTTAATTGAAGTGAATGGTTATGGCAACCGCAGCGCAGGGTTGCCAGCCACTCGCTCGGTTATTCATGTTTATTACCTATCCAACGCCAACCGTTTTATTATGTTGGCAACCTATTTTGTCCCGCGTAAATGTTTGACACTTCGGCTTGGGCGGCAAATTGCCTTATAATGTAAGGGTTAATTTACCCGATTTGACTTGGGTAAGCAAAAACAAAATACCTAGGTACATAGTATGGGGTCTGTTTTACTTATTTGCTATTCGGTTATCAGACTCTAGACAAATATACTTAGACTAAAACTTTGAATTTTTGGAAAGGGATTTCATCTCAGATGGGGCCCAACGGGGCCGATTTTCGATGAATTGCGGATACAAGCGCTATAATTCATCTCAGCCCCGGCCCGTAGAAGGAGAAGGAATGGGGTGGTTTTTAGTTAGTAAGAGCCTGACACTCCCTTTTACCCTATACAGGGCGAGAGACCCGAGCGTACGGCGCGTAGCGTTCCGCGCGCGCCTCAAAGAGCCAATAGACCACCACAGACGGGGCCCTATAGGGCTGATGTTCAGCCGGGGTTGCGGGGTAAGCGCAATGAGGCACTGCGACCTCGGCCCAGAGCAGGAGAAGGAACAGGAGTTTTTTAGTCAGTAAGAGTCTGATACTCCCTCCCGCCGAACCCTGGGCGGGAGAAGTCATTTGATGATTTTCCCCTCACAAAAAAGGCGAGAGAAGCCATAAGAATCTTTTTCCCACCTCAAGAAATAAAAGCGTGTTGTCACGTCGATTTTCTGTTTCGTACCAAAGCATGGCTCTCTTGCGTACCAACATGAAATGTATAAAAAATTAAAATATGAAATCTTTAATAACGATAAAGTTTAAATGTCGATGTTTCGAGAGACTGATGCAATTTCATCAAAATATGTAATGAGATGTTCTTAGTTGCATTTAATGTAATAAGTTTGTGCATAATTCAGCTTACACTTGCATACATAATACATGATACAAGTTGCATTGTACTTTATTATATAGAAAATATCCAGTAGTATTTTTATGCTTGTGGTAAAAAAAAGTTATCATCGTCAGCTTATAAGTGCTCAAGATGAGCAAAGGCCTCTTTTAACACGAAGAAAGTATGTGCATTAGTCACCAAGCTTGCTCTACATGGATTGTCGATTTAAAACATATAATAAGAAACTAACTTAAAATAAGTCCAGGTTTCTACACATTTAAGTTATATTAAGCTGCGAGGCTCCGCAACCGCAATTCTATAATTTAGGTGATAGTGCGGCAGGCAAGCTTATATCCATGGACGACAGCAACGTCAGAGCAGTTGTTTGGATTTGAGGTTTGGGGATGGGGGACATGCTAAGAACTCCAGTTATCACACTGTGAAACACACAAAGGATTATTTCGCACCGGATTTCTGAGGGGTCTTGGTATCACTCCGGTCGTGCTGAAAGATTCGTGTCGATGCATGGCTCTCCCACACTTTTGATTTAAATAATCTAAAAAAACATCCTATTAAATTAGATGTTTCTAGAAAAAAACCGAATCAACTGATCCTATAAAAGCAATAGACAACAGAAATTGTTCCACAGAACAGATAATTCCTATTACAAAAAAAAAAATAACAATTGGCTTTCTGACCTTTGCGAGAGAAAAACAAAACAAAAAGTTTAGTCTGTTAGTTAATTTGATTGGATAGTCTTGTTTGTTTTTAATTGGTTTGGAGAGTGGTTGTGGGGAACGATTGATTGCATCGTTACAACCCTGTATAGGTGGCCTTAGTTCAAATATACTAGACTTTGTTGACCCTATGATTTTTGTGGATATTGTTACATCATCATTATAAGCTGGAAAACGTCCACTGCTGGAGAAAGGCCTACCCCTTAGTTCTCCATGTCGAACGACAAGTTGCCAATCGTATCCATTGGCTCTGACGAGGTCATTGGTCCACCTAGCGGGAGGTCTGCCTCTGCTAAGTCTTCTGGTCCGTGGTCGCCACTCGAGCACTTTTCTGTAATCTGCCGTCTGTCCTTTGAGTGATGTAGACTGCCACTTCAGCTTGCCGATTTTAGGAGCTATACCGGTGACGGGGACTCTGGTTCTTAGCGAATTTGGACAATGCAGATTTGGTCGCGCAAACAAACAAGCTATCAAGAATAGCTCTCTCCAGCGCTCGCTGGGTATTGTTTGAAAAAGATATAGTAATAATGAATTTATAAAAAAAAACTAATTGTCTCTAGCGTTTACTACATATGTTTAGATAAGTCACAGAAACTCACCTTCTGATAAAGGAAACATCCCAAAGAAAGCCTTAATTCCTGTGGACACTTAACAATTACTAGTAATTTTATGAAATGAAATCCAAATCCGAACTAATATTATAAATGCGAAAGTAACTCTGTCTGTCTGTCTGTCTTTTCTTCACGCCTAAACTACTTAACCGTGTTCTGTGAAATTTGGTACAGACATAGTTTGGAACTCGAGAAAGGACATCTCATGTTTTGTGACATGTTTTCTACTAAAAATAAAAAAAAAAACTAGTAAATAAATACAATTTCATTTCATTTTAATTTTCTTCATGAGCACACCCTATCCAATACCTGGAAAGGAGCCTAATCGATGAAGGAATCAACAGATTTATCAGTTACGATCACTTGAGAATGTTCTCGAAGCACTTCCGAGCATCTATTGGAATATTGCTGACTGGATCTTATCTCTTTATCACAAAAATCCGAAGACAGGTTCTAAAGAGGGCTACGATAATATATCTTAACTAAATTATAAACGCTACGCTACGCTACGATATGTTTTTCTTTCTTTTACTTGAATGGGGTTTAGGACTATTTTTAGGCAAAAAAAAGTCAAATATCCTTTATTCCAATTAGACCCTTACAGACACTATTGAATGTCAATCAAAACTTAAAGACAAAAAGTGATAGTGTGTCGCTCAGTCCTCTTATTGAAGCTATTTGCTCGTTCCACAATGTAGATTCCGATAGAGAAGAACGAGCAAGAAACTTCATGGTTACTTACTATATTCGTACTACACATTATTTAACGAAGTTTGATTTACAACCCACTGATATCGTTCGGCTTAGTATTAGTTGGTAAGGTCTATTTGCTTGCCGCCCTATCTTATAAAAAAACTCATTTGTATTTCAAGACCTCCTTATCCTGGGTCCTTAAATAAAATAAGTAAATAAAATATTTTTTCTGAAATCATCAAAAAATACTTCGATTTTTTATGGAAACTCAGAATGAACCACGTGACTAGGGTATCGAACTCAAATCTCTAATCGGTTTTAGCACATGTGACAACTAGAAGGGAAGAAAAAAAAATCGTAAAATGAATTGCTAAATGGCCCACATCGGTGTAAGCCATCAATCGTGATTCTAGCTCACTCATATAAAGTTTCCACAATGAACTAACTAGCGTAGTGATGTGTGTGTCTATTCTGATAAAAATATCGATAGAATTGATTTTTATCGATAACTTATGCTTTTGTAGTTTTTTCAATGATTTGTGTCTTTGGTGAAGAGAAGTTAGTCAGAAAATATTTTATATGATATTTAGATGTACTTAACGATAGCAAAGAGATAATGGTATATGCTACGCTCCTTAACGTTAAAAACATAATTGTGCTTCGCTTAATTTGACTTTACTCATTGAGAAAATAAGGTTTAAAATAGGTATTCATTTTTAATACACCGTTTTATAGTTTAAAGTACCACTCCACTTAATTACACTCAAAAAATAATCGTCTAACAAAGAAAAATAGGCTCAAAACATCGTATTATTAATACGATGACTTGTACGTTTTGGATAATTTAATTAATTTTCACGTTCAACCAAAGATGTTTTGTATGAAAACCAGGCTGAACATTAATCATTTACTTGGAATCTGCCTGTAGGTAAGAGCTTTTAGGAATAATATTAATCATACCGTAAGGTTTCTTGTTCTATATCTAAATCTAGGCCAGACATATGTCTAAGACAGATTATTCAGTCTTTTATTCTATCCTAGATGATATACATGATGAAAGAACATAATATAGAGTAGGTATTTTCTTAAGACATATTGTGACCTCTTAGCATAAAGGATGGTAGAAAAATAGCTGTCTGTTTTGACATCGCAGGTTCATTGTTGTTAGAGGGTTATTTATATCAAGTACTTGGATTAACATAATAGGTACAATGTTGGTGATTCTCTGAAGGGGTAAGGGTTTTGTTATTTATAGTACACCTCCATTGTTCTCATGTCTTGTCATGTTTACTATACATATGTAGCCTGTTTTGTTTAACGCTTAATTTCGAATAGTGATAATCATCATCATCATCATCATCATTATCAAAGTCTTTCCCCTATGGTTTGGGGATCGTGACCATCATTAGTCACTGTCAACATTGAGGTTGGGCCGGAATAATTTCCTCCTATCAGCAGCAGTGTGTACAGCTTGCAGGCGGAGTTGCAGATGAGATTGGATTTGGCCACACCATCTTGCACGAACAGGGCCCCTTCGTCTTTTCCCATCTTTACCAATTATTATGTGCTAACAATACCCACTAACTAATTGAATGAGAAATTGATAATCTCCATGTAACGTTCAGGATGTTTTCTTTCCTCTCTCATCTACTTAAATGTCGTCTTTAAGAGATGCTTTTTAGTATTATTTCGCATTAAGACAAGCCCAATTGTAATAGGTACTGATTTTTTAATGTATATTCTTGAATGAGTGACTTATAAAGTGTAATTATAAGTTTGTAATTGCCAATCCGCAATTACAAAGCATGTTGATCAATGTTCAAATATTCTCCTTGTGAGAAGAGGCCTTTGCTCAGCAGTAGGCACTTATAGGCTAATGATGTGATCTGTGATTACTGTTATTTGTTCTCATTCATTTTAAGCGGTTCCGCTTGACAATTGTTAGTATTTTTATAAGTATATCATAAATTCAGCCCTAGTGTTTACTTAAAGCAATTTATTGGATGGGCGTAGGAGACGACATTTGCAAGCTAATGGCTACTTGTGTTGTGACTTGTGCAAATGTCAACCATTTTCGAGTTAAAGCCAACACAAGGTTAATGCGAAAATGTTAGCTATGAATAATTAAAGTTTGAGAAAATATTAATTTCAATGTCAAATTCAATAAAGTTGTTAAAATTGCTCCGTTACAAAATAATTATAATTAGAAAAACACAGTCTTTTGCTTAACATTTTTAGCATCAATTAATACGACACTAAATTTATTAGAAATTTTTAAAAGACGTTTTAAAAATACATTTCTTATGTCACGTAGGTATGTACGTCTTATCAACAAAAAAATATCGATACTTTAAAGGCACATCACTAAACAAATCAACGCTATTATATGCACTCGACCGTCTTTCCTTGTACTCAAACGAAGAACACCATCTAGAGATGTGTATTTTAAAACTGTTTTTATTTAATTTAAAAAGTATTTTAGTGGAAAAGCAGTGACTAAATAAAAAAATAAAAAATGTACAACACTTTATTATCATGTGATTAGTAACACATTTATTTTTAATCACTTTTTTGGATGCCAGTAAAATCAGTGATCAATTCCGTAAATAATATTGATTTAATCTTTTCGAAAAATTAATAATGAGAAATATGGTTGATAATTAGGGGTTTAATGGTTCATAGTTTGTTGGGAATTAACAAAATAAAACATAAATTTGCTTTAGGAATTTTAGCAAAATATTAAACAAGGGTCAACACCCCAGAGGACAGATTAATTAAATCAGTGTTTTATGGGACATTTACCTGATGAAAGTTTCAGAAATGTATTTAAATGTACTTTAAAATTTGGGACAAATAGTCTATAAGTACTTTATATATATATTATATTTTTTATTTTATTAATATTATAAAGCTGAAGAGTTTGTTTGTTTGAACGCGCTAATCTCCGGAACTGCTGGTTGAAATTGAACAATTCTTTTTTTGTCTGTTAGTCCATTTATCGAAGAAGGCTATAGACTATAAAACATCAACAGCGCGAGAGTAGCTAGTTGAATTATAATTTGAAAGGGACGGATGACAAAATTGTACTATAAAAGTGTTTTTTTATATCTATGCGGTATGTGTTGGCAGTGGTGCTGGTGTGGTCAGTCCAGAGCCTGCAGCTGGACAGCCAGGCTTCCACGAGGAGGCCAAGGGTCACCAAGTACAGCAAGACTACTATTGCACCAGGAGGGTCAACGGTAATAAACTTTTATCTTGTTTTATAGGTGTATGTTGGCAAACGAGCAGACGGATTATCTGATGGTAAGCAACCGGTGCCGCCCATGGACACCTGCAACACCAGAGAAGTTATGAGTTGCCGGACTTTTGGGGATTATGGTTTCGGATGATGGGACCTCCCCTAACCTCACTCAACACAACGCTGTGGTTGTTTCACGCCGGTTTTCTGTAAGGCTGTGGTATCATTCCGTTCGAGCCGACCCATTTGTGCTGAAGCTGCTGCTGGGTCTCCCACACTTAAACTTTGTTAATTTTCTATGATATTATTGTGAAAAAAAGTTATTTCCATTTTCAGATTGACAGTTAAACTACTACCAAAATATAGCAACCGATTTTAATACTTGAATGAAATAATTTCTTTACAACTAAACGTATAAACTAATCTCAATCTAAGAGTATGGCTTGATATCGAAATACCATTTAATTTAAAGAAAAAAATACATTGAAGGTCATGAAAAGGATTTAGAACTGGTTTTGGCTAAAAAACATATTTTGAAATCAGAACAATACCGATACTTTTTAAAGAAAACCTAACATTTGTTGTGATCGGTTAAACGAGGTCTAGGTTCAGTTTATTAACCTCTTTTTGACAAAATTTATTGTTGATAATAACGAATTACTCACGTGTATTAAATGACAAAAGTTGTGAATTAAAACTAAAATGTTGTATGTCGCACTATAGTTGATCTTTTTTGAATTTTGTAAAATTGACATATGAATTTTTATATATTCCAGGAAGCAGTAACAGAAAGGAGCCTAAACACTGCCACGTATCGTCTGCTGGGCAGAGATGGAGAGACGTGCATCTTATTGATGGTCGACGCTCTACTAGATATTTCTTACGTCACCAAACTTAATGAAAGAGCCGTAAGTTGAACTGACAATTATTACAATAATTATATTAGTACCCAAGGTCTAATTGTTTAGGTAATCAACTAAATGTAAACAGTCTTGGAATGTCTTTTTATCTAAAAGTAGTTTAGAGGTATGAGAGAACATGATGGAAAGTTCCTCATTCTCCATTGAAAAGGGAGGATCCTCCGACCAGACGGGTGTCATGTCTGATGGGCTACTGCCCGACGGTCGTTGTCGGGATTTTTGTATCGGTTCTAGTTGCGTTGAGAACTCTTATACCGCGATGTGCTGTTGCTGCATGTTGTGCGATAGATGTCGCTACAGTAGTTTAATTATTTAATATAAAATTAGTTTATTTATTGTATACTTTAAGCTATTTCCTGATATTGATGTTGAACTAAATTTTAATAATCTTTATATGCATTATATACGACTTCCTTAATAAAAAAAACATATCAAGACCTTTAGTTGGGTATATAACTTGGAAGCTCCGAAGTTAAGGTGCTTTCGTCTCATGCTGTTCCCGAGTTCTGTATATTATTATGTGGGTACTTTCTTAGCTTACACAACCTGGACTTGTATCCAATTATTAGATGGAAATCGCTGCTCCACCTTGAGCAAGAATTGCCACCTTAAGCGCGGGTCGGCGGACGGCGAGTAAGGACAACTCGCCGCCCGAGTGCCGGACCAGAACCAGACCCGAGCGTACGGCGCGTAGCGTTCCGCGCGCGCCTTAAAGAGCCAATAGACCACCACAGACGGGGCCCTATAGAGCTGATATTCAGCTGGGCTTGCGGGATAAGCGCAAGAAGGGACCGCAACCCAGAGCAGGAGAAGGAACAAGGGGTTTTTTAGTCAGTAAGAGTCTGACACTCCCTCTCGCCCGGGCCTGGATGGGAAAAGTCATTTGATTATTTTCCCCTCACAAAAAAACCTTGAGCAAGAATGGTAGTAAGAGGCCTTTTCTCATCAGTGAACACTTACAGAACAATGATAATCATGATGAGTACCTTTACATTCGATAAAAACTGGCTAAAGTGACTGACTAAAAGTGCCTTAGATTGAAATAAATCACTTGACTCTGACTAAAAAGTAAAAATAATTTATTTTTAACATACTTAAGAAACTAAACCAAATTCTCTAGAGAAAGCCACAAACCTAACAAATTCCCTGGCATAAAGTTGGCATATTAGACAAAGTTCCCGACATAATATAAGTACAACACGTACATTGCGTTTTACGTTTGAACTTGAAGTTAGTAAATCAAGCGCTAAAGTGTAATGTAGACAGCTCACACTAATTAACCTTTTCAATAAAGTTCAGTGTAGTTGTAATTAATTTAACACGGCATTCTACCTAAACTTTGTTTTGTAAGGCTATAAATTTTGCTGAGTCATAGGTTAGGCTTTGTTTGTTTTAAATAACCTTGCTTCACACAAGGATCTCCTGTGTCGGGGATAAGTTTATACCGAAACATACAATGTCACATACACATTACACCTAAACTAGGAACAGTGGTTGATCTTACAAAGCGCTGTTCCGTTTGGGAATGGAACGCCACCATATACGACAGCCGGTTACTCAACCACTGCGTCAAGTGTGCAGTAATGCGGCGCAGTGCAAGTGGGGAAAGAATAAACTAGTTATGTGATATTTGTTATTTTCAATACAAATATTATAATGCTGAGGAATTAGTTTGTTTGTTTGAGACGATTTGACGATTGTTTCTGTGTTGGATATTCCATTTATAAAGGAAGGCTACCCATAGACTAAAAAACTTCACGTTATAACCAATACGATTCAACCAATAACATTAGAGACTATATTACTGGCAGTATGCGTTATTTAGCGTTTACTTTTTGGTAAAAATACATACAGAGGTTATTTAAGGTTTATTTTATCTGAATGATTTATTTATTTATCATTATCATCATCAACTTATAAGTGCCCACTGCTGAGCAAAGCTGTCTTCGCACACGGAGAAAGTTTGAGTATTAATCACTACGCTAGCTCAAAGCGGATTGGTGATTTCAAACTTATAATTAGAAATTATTGATCCAGGTTACCTCACTATTACCGACTGTCTGTGGTGTCTTGGTGTCAAAATAAACTTCGGAAATATATACATAATATATCACGGAAAAAGTAACATAGCATAGGTACTCGAAAAGAAGGAGCCTTAACCTCTGGGCCACCACATGCTTATTTATCGACCTTAACAAAAGAAAAAGTGTAGGTACTGACGAACTTAATGCTTTAGGAATTCTCTCCTAGTCAATTTTTAGGTAACGCTGATAATTTTACAAACGAGTGATTAAGTTTCCTCTGCAAATTACGTAACTCACCCAGGATGTAGATCTAAATAGTTATTTGTTTTTAACCCATATTTTTTGAAGATAATTTTTGTATTTGAATATAAGTAATTGTCTTATTTTCATATTGTTCTATTTGTTTTTCAGGATGCAAACACGTTCGTTCCAAACAACGCCAACGTTGCTGGAGCGTGTAAGGAGAGCGATGCAGAAACACTCCTGCTGACCTTTAAAGACTTTGCTCTAGAATTCTCATTTTCTAAAGTAAGTTTTTTTATTTACATGTTAAAACACTTTATAAAAGATTTTGGAACTTCGACCTTAAGAAAAGAGTAGGTACGGTGCTGCTTTAAAATGCTGGTAAAGCACTTATTGCTCCGTTGATGAAATTGTCTAAGTACAAGAAGCCACAGAAATTGTGTGGGAATGTCATGCTTCGGCACGAATGGGTAAGCTCGACCGAAGTGTTAAAACAACCTCACAAAAAAACTGGCGTGAAACCATCACAACGTTTCGCCGTTACTAAGGTTACCGCTAGCCTAATCCATCCCCTATCGGGAGGTTTCCCAATTCCAAAATGCCTCAAAACTGCTTTACGGATTGAAGCAGAATGATATGTATCGTATTTCTACATTTTTGGCAGTAAGAGTCCTACACTCTCTTTCGTCTCAATCAGAGGCTCCTCCTTCCACTGAACCTTATCCTACATCTACTGTTCGTCCAGAACCACAATTAGTTGACCACTGATAAGAATACCGTGCAAAATTGAGCCCAGTCTTGCTACAATCATGCTGCAGACAGTTGTGCTGCAGTCTGATTTTTCCACATTTTCTAAGACAACCACCCCATTAATATCCACCATCTCTTTCAGACTCCAGGCGGAGAGCGTTGGTACGCTGACAGTCTGCGCCTTACTTACAACTCGAGCGCTCGCATCCTTGAGCACGCAGCCAACCAAGGTCGGAAGGTCACGCTCAGCACCGACTCCAGGGAGCTCCTGTTCCCTACTCCAGTTGGCAAGTCTTATTCGTGTCCTGAGGAAACCATCATTGAGTTGGCGGAGGAAGATGCCAAGTAAGTCTTAGTTCTAAATCAATTTAAGCTGATCAAATTCTTTAGGAACTTTGAATTCTATGTAAAGAGTTGACATGCATTTGTTTTTAGTTAAAGAAGAATAAAAATACCTTCAGAATGGTTCTTTAACGGCCTTATGACAAAACAAGGTTTTCCTTCAGTCTAGGTCTAAACCATTGAGCCAGTTTTTGTATTTCAAATTGAAGGTAGGTGAGAATAAAATTCAAAATACAAAACCTGGCTCGATGGTTTAAACCTAGACTAAAGATAAATCTTGTTTTAATTAAGGGTATTAATTTTGTAAGATGTAATCTTAATACGACTGTATTTTCGAATTAATTTTTTTTAAGCATTTTTTTTTCATTTTAGTTATGTCGTTTTTTATTTTTATTTAGAGTTTTGTTAGAGTTTTAATGTAAAAATGTTTAATATTATAAGTTTTAAGATAATTAAGTTAAATGTCAATGTCAACTACTTAGTCGTTATCTAACAAATACTTTGCATTTTTTTTTTTTTTTTTTGGTGTCGGGTTGGAAAATCCTCATGGAGACCCATCCCCTCGGGGAAGGGCGAAGGGTACTGTCAGACTCTTACTGACTAAAAACCAACCCGGTGTTCCTCCACTTACCCATGTGTCGGAGGGGCGGGTATCGCCGAAGCATTCGTCGCAACCCCCCGACGGGTGTTGGCCCGCCAGATGGTAAGGCGGGCCCCGTCACCCACTGCGGCCGTCACCCCGACCGCAGGACTCCACTATGAGGCGCGCGCGGAACACGGCGCCGCCGCCTCGAGGCCTGCTGCTGGTCGGACGACAAGACGCCCCGAGTCTGTCGTCCGCAGGCCGCGCCCTACGGTGGCCGCAGGTCGGCCACCCTACGACGTCTAGTGCGTCTGCTGCGGGAGGGAAGAGAGGAGGCAGCCTCTCTCTCCCTTTCCGCCGCCTCCTTTGCGAGCATCACGGCCTCGCAGAAGGTAGCGACGGTACTCCACCCTGATTCGCTCCCGACCATAGTAGACACTAAAGCCGGAAGCGAGAGATTTCCCGCAGCACCTACGGCCGCGACCAGGTCACGACGCTGCTCGGCCCAAGCTGGGCACTCCGCCAAGGTATGCAGCGCCGTATCGTCGCGGCAATCACCACAATGGTGGCACCGAGACGTCGGCTCCCGACCTATGCGACACAGGTACTTCCCGAAACACCCGTGTCCGGTAAGCACCTGCGTCAGCCGGAAGCTGAGAGCGCCGTGGCTCCTATTGAGCCACTCCTCTAGAACGGGCCTTACCGCCTCTATAGCAGCGTGCCCCGCCGTGGGTTGCGCTAAGCGCGTCTGCCACTCCGCCATTAAGGTCTGGCGGAGTTCTGCCCTGCGTGCCTCAACCTGTCGAGGCACCAGGCGCTCGCCCCGCTCGATTGCCTCCGCGCGCCACCAATAGAGCGACGCGAGGAGTTTTGCGTCGAGGTCCCAGGGCGGGGATCCGGCTAGGAGGCTCGCTGCCTCAAAGGAGATCGTACGGTATCCCCTGATTATCCTGACGGCCATCGCGCGCTGTGGCCTTCGCAGCGCGGCGATGTTGCGGGCCGTCAGGGCGTCCGCCCATACTGGCGCAGCGTATAACGCCATCGACCGTACGACCCCCATGTAGAGCCTCCGGCAGGAGGAGATGGGCCCCCCCTGGTTGGGCAGCAAGCGCGACAGCGCAGCAGCGGCGCCCATCAACCGGGGGGCGAGCCGTGTAAAGTGCGGCCCGAAATTCCACCGACTGTCGAGAACGAGTCCGAGGTACTTCATCATGGACTCAACAGCGATGGAAACCCCTCCTACTATAATGCTGGATCCTTGAGGCGGCTTCATCCTCGGCCCATGAAAACACAGGGCCTCCGATTTGTGCAATGCCACCTCTAAGCCCAGCCGCCGGATCCTACCCACGACGTGCGCGACACCAGCAGTCGCGCGTATGGCCGCCTGCCGGTACGACTTTCCACGCGCTGTAACTAGCGTATCGTCGGCGTAACAAATGACACCGACGCCGTGGAGTAGCGCACCGCGCAGAGCCCAGTCGTAGCCAACGTTCCACAAGAGCGGACCCAACACCGATCCCTGCGGAACGCCGCACGACGTCTCTCGCCGACCCCATCCTTCTCGACCCGGGTACACCACCGACCTGTCCGACAAATAAGCCCCGACAATGCGTTGGAGGTAGCGTGGCACCCCGTGATACCGGAGCGCCTCTCGGATGGTACTCCAGGGTAAGGTGTTGAAAGCGTTAGCGATGTCGAGCGACACCGCCAAGACCACCTCACCCCGGGCGACTGCCTCCTCCGCCAGGACCTTTACGCGCATGATAGCGTCCACCGTGGAGCGCCCCTGGCGAAAACCATATTGGTTGTCCGCCAAATCCGGCCCCACCCTGGTCATGTGCTGGACGAGGCGGCCGGCGATGATTCGCTCGAAGATCTTACACACCTCGTCCAGCAACACGATCGGCCTGTACGCAGACGGGGAGTCTGCGGGGCGCCCCGCCTTTTTGAGCAAGACCAGCTTTCCGGTCTTCCACCGGCTTGGGAACTGGCCCCGCTCCAAACATGCGCTTAAGAGCCCCGCTAGTCGGGGCCAGAGAGCTTTCATAGCCAGGACCCATGCACGGCCTGGAATGCCGTCGGGCCCTGGGGCGGTGTTCTTGATGCGACCCACCGCCACTCTCAACTCTACCCGGGTCACTTCGGGCACGTTTTCGTCAGTAACAAATACTTTGCATGCCGTAAGGCGAAACGTATTAAGACAATAAAAATTAACACGTCACCATATCTCTAACATACATTTTCTGCAAATAAATTATTTCTATTTCGTTTTTCAGTCCTGCCACAACTCATCGCGCCAAATTGTACCTCCGTGAGATGCGGCTGCAGGCTTTCATGTACAAGCGAGGCGGGGAGTTTGGTCCAGCGTGGGCCTGCGCCCGGGCAGCGCGCGCACGCGCCGAGGCAGCGCCCGTCGCCGTCGGCGCAGCCCTAGCGCTCGCCACAGCAGCCACACTTTGCGCGTACGCCGCTTGGCGCTACTTCAAGGTCAAGAAGGTACAGTATGACACTATGGAGTAAACCGACCTCTTTCGTTCTCAAATGTAATTTCCAAAAAAAGAACAAGCCAATGCCAATTTATTTTTGACAGATTGTTTTTTTAATTAAGTTCCAATTTTGAATTGCGGTTGTAGTATGTTTGAAATTAGATGTCACTTTTAATGGTTAAATATTGATCGAGTAACAGTTTTATTTAAACTTAAATATCTATAATATGACATTAATTGAAATAATGTACGTGATTTGAAGATAATAAATAAAAGATTACTTAAAAAAATTCAAGATAATTAGATAAATTGAGTCTAGATAGCATTTAAATTCACGTGAAAAACAAAATTTAACGAAAAATCTAATCGAAGTATGTTTTTTCTTTTTAAGGTAAACTTCTTTACACTTAAATGAAAGTGTATTTCTATAAAATTCTATCTTTTATCTCTCATTTTCTTTCTCTTCTTTATTTCTAAATCTAATGATTATTCTTCTATATTCTTTTTTTCTTTTTACAAGAAGAAAATGAGTTTTTCTTTCCCAAACAAATGATATTTGTAAGAAAGGAGTTTTTTATCGTAGGTCGTTGATATAGTGAGATCTATTAAGAATGTTCTGAATGCCAAGTGGTTTGTCTTAGTACGGTAGACCAAAATATTGTTATGTGTAAGAACTAAGAATCAAGTGAGATTTATAAATGATATTATGCTATGTTTATATTTGAGGATGTATTTACTGGGATATTTCCAGGAAACGCATTTAGGCCACCTTTTTTTACTATTTGACCTTTAAAATCTAAATAAGGACAGAAAAACATAAAAACTTATATACATTTATTTTATAGTAATTAAATATGTGAAATTTGAAACACAATATGGAGGATTAATTCTTTATTATAACATCATAACGGTACTAGAATTTAAGTATTTTTTATTTAAAATGACATCCGAAGAACTTTTAAATTGACTTTTAAACTGGGAATAATGAATAATTACAATACTTTTTTTATTAAATGCGTAATACACAATCGTCTCGTTAATACATCCACAAGTAAATGCTATGAAACTATTATAAAATACGTTTTTATAATATTATTCAAGAATCGTAGAAGGAAAGCGCCATCTGCTTGACAATTTGACTTTTTGAAAGTAGTTAGCGATTGAAAAATGTTGTTGGAGATTTTGAAATCAGAGAAAATATGTCTATTATTATTATACTATTAAAAATACATTACAATAGAAATACAATATACCTAAAAAACCTAATCATCGTTTTTGACGTTCAGAATTTATTATGGAAACGTAAAAAAGAGCGCGAAAATTAAAATGTTTTAAGAAAGCATCACATGTCGATTAAATGCTCGATATGTCAAGCTTAGAATAGTTACAGTATAAATAAAATATTAATCAAATAACTGTTTTATATTTATATGTATGTTCAAGGATTCTCAAATAATCAGAATAAATACTGAATTTGAAGTCTATAAAGTGTTCTTTCTTGTGTCAGCGATATGTCACTGTCAGTTATCTGTCTAAATATAAGTGCAGATCTGATACGATACTTTTTTCACTTTATAGATTTCATCTTCAGTGATTGTTTAAAGTTTAATGATGTTGTTGATGGTTGATATAATGTAAAAATGTATTTACTCCCCATGTAACCCCAAATAACCTAAATAAGATAGTTTTATGAGATGTGTAACTTGGTTTTGAAGAGAAAATTGGCTTACATATAATTTGAAATATTGTTAGAAAATAGTGTAGAGTTAATAATTTTACTATCGGTGTAGCCAAGATTGTTCAAATTAAAATTCACATTTATTCAGGTATCAAGACACTAATGTTACACTAAGTCAAACCAAATTAAAGAAAAAACAGAAGAAAAATAGATTGTACCAAACCGATGATTAATAAAAGAAAAAAAATGAAGGAGGGACCTCATATCTATGAAAATAACAAAACATAATCTTGGCTACATTAATATATCACGCATTAAGTTAAATAAAACTCGAATTATTTAATCATATAATCATAGTTAATCGATCATTACTCATAAATACATATCAAAGGATAATAAAATATAATTTTTAATTAAAATTATCATTGTAATTATAAAAGATATATTAATTTGTGATTGTTTGCGGTGTAGTGTTTACTACAATCGTTATTACGTGTACAAGCAATAAGTACGTTTTTATTGGATGCCGTCGGTACGACATAGTGGCTGATTAGGTGTTGTATTTGTGTGCAAAACTTGGTATTGCCTAGTGTTCTTATAGTTTTAAGTATACATATAACATTTAAGTGAACATTGTATAGATACAATTTATATTAATTTCTAGTTCGTAATTATATCTTTTGTGTATATTTTACTGCTGGATGCGATTTTTAATGTATTTACATTTGTTTGTAAGATTTTAGCAATTTTTATGACACTGTGTTTTCGTATGTTTTCGATATTATATTATTAACAACTCCATGGTCAAATCTACCTCTACAATCTTCCAAACTATATTATTTTTCTAAACTTTAGTTTACTACAGCTTGCATAGAATAGGCGTAACCTATATTTTAAAGATATACCTTTTAGTGTTTAAGTTTGTATAGGAAATACATATTTTAGAGTAATGAAGATATTTTTATTAAAGGTATTATAATTGTAATCTCTGACACTAATACCAAGTTTTGCTAGTTAAGATTTGCTGTGTGTTACGCTTCATGTGAAAGTCGAATGACTTTATATTATTTACTACTAATACTCATCAATTAATTACACATATCGTTTATTGATAAACTAAGTTTAATGTGGACATACGTTTGTGATCATTGTTGTACCATAAGTTATAATTTGTATGGAGTTAGGGCTAGATCTAAGTTAGGTTTATAGTCCCTCAATCGCTTAGCTGTACATAGCCTTTGTTTGACATCCGCTCCTTGCTTTGTTTTTCGTATATTTAAATTTTTCGATATATTTATTACATTACAATAGCTTTTCTCAATCTATTGTATTGTATATATTTCTTGACTAAGTAAGCCACTTTTCGAATTTTACCATTTGGACTAGCACTGTTTCTCTTCAACATTTTAACTCTTAATAGAGCTCGACTTGAGAACTTATTGGGCTTGAAGAGCCATTGATATAACTAAAAGTGGATTCCTTATTGTTTTTTATGCACAGCAAACTGCTAAACCCTTTAGATCGACTTGAAAGATTATTTTTCGCACAAAACCTTAATTTAAACGCAATATTACGGGATTAAAGATGGATTTCACCATAGTTTAGTCGGGCTCTAACTATCTTATAAAGAATAATTAAATTTAAAAATTCATTTTAAGAATTCTGATGTTTCTGAAAACTTTTTCTACTAGATGAGAAAAAAAATAATAATGATAAATAAAAAAATATATAATTCTATTTTCCTAATATTTTGTATTGTACTCCCGTAGAATTTTTTTCCTCAATAGTTTGGTAGCATTACGTACTACATATCGGTGCATTTGTATTAAATAATATTGTACTAAAATATTAAAAGCCATACGATTTGTCTTCCAGTAACTGATCTATTATATCAATAGCGAGTATTGTAGCTTATTATATACATAATTATGAATATAACGCAAAGGTGGTGGTATTACGGGTTTATCAATATTTAACGTACTCCTCTCCGCTCATCTTTGAAGGTTTAGAACCTTTGAAACCGATATTACAAATATATTTACACTGTAAACTAAATTGTGGTAATAAAATATTCAAAACAAATTATGAAAAAATCAAATAAAGCCGTAATAGACACCACTGATTAGTATTTAAGTGACATATCTCAAAATTATTGTAACTTAGTGCGTTCATTTATTGAATTGTCTTTATGAATAAATGACGACAAAATATTTTGTGTTTTTTTTTATAATATTCTACTTAATCGACAGTGATTTCCATTCCGCTTGCTAACCGCGAAGATTATTGTACGAACTATATTTCAGTAGATTGCAGTGTGATGAGTATTTTTTTTATGATATCGGGGTAATAATAGGTCGGCAAACAAGCCGACGGATTACTTGATGGTGGGCAATAGACGCCCATATCAACACTCTTATAGGAAAAAAGGAAAAGGATTGGTTACAAGGGCGTTGCCGGTCTAAAACGGGTCTGTAAGGAATTTAAGGATAGAGGATGGAAGAGGAGGGGGAAGTATTGGGCCACCGGTAACATCACTTTCACGGCAAAACACAAGGTAAGTGTTTGTTCACGCCCACTTTACGCATGGCCGTGGTATCACTTCAGTCGAAGCTGCCCTCTCGTGCCGAAGTACGGCTCTCCCATGATAAGCAATGAGTCACGACTCAAGTACGGTAATATGTTTTCATTTTAAAATACCCCCAGTAGTATCTACGTAATATTCGTTTCAGCTATTTTTCAGGTCCACTTTATTTAAATATTAAGTAATAAAAATACCTAATTGATTAAAATGAAACTTGCAAATCGATACTAGTTTCTCGACTATTTTCCATCACTAAAGTATGACTAGTTTTATATAAACGCCACCTAGTGGACCGGAACTGTACTTCTTTGTTAAAACGATACAGTCTTGTGTCCACAGATGGCGTAAGGTTATGTTCTCGTGTTGTAACTGTTGTAAGTAGTAAGTACTTCTTTATGTAATAGATATTGTCTTTGGTAAACCTAAATAATAGATACAATCTTTTATGTTTCAGTGACTGAGTTTAAAAGCAAAATTATTTTCCAGTTCTTGTGTGTATGTATGATCAATGATTGTAGTATATTTGTCAAATTTGAATGCCCTATGTTTTTACTCTTCGACAAATTCTCTATAAGGCAAAGACACTTAGTTCTCACTAGAGCCCTTAATTGCCTTTTCAGCTCGCTGCTCGCTCAATCGTCATTATACCGGGTCCAATTTTCTAAATCACAATTTCTTAGCAACGCCTTCTCCATTTACAGAGTTTAATAAAAATCTCCAATTTTATCAATTACTATTCAACCCTTTGTAG